AGAGCAATTCGTAGTCTCGCTGATGTCACAAAGTCTACTTTGTTCATCTAAAAAAAGGAAGAATCAATGATGAATGGGATAACATTTCATGACACTGTGAATTAGTGCAAAAATCTTGTAAAGTTTACACCATAACCGTGTTGTGTGCACAAGTTTTGAGAATGAATTGTTAGGGACTGAGCAATAATTAGTCGAGAAGGGGAGGGAGGAGGAGGGCTGAGAAGTGAATGAAAAAGCAGAAAAGTTAGTTTATGTCTCTCCCTCACACATGAATAAAATTACGCCATGCTCCCCTACCGTACCTGTAAAAATTCGTTTACAATTCCCCTTTCCCCAAACCCCCCTCTCAAATATTGCACAAAACAGCTCAAAATATAAAGCGATTTTGCACCACTCTTTTGAGCATCTTTAAAGCATCTTTGTGAATTGCAGTGAAAAGAATGACGAAAAACGGAAACTATGTAAACAATGAGGTTCGGTCTCTAAGACTTCAGTTAGATGATATAACGTCACAGAGTACATGTCCACTAACTGGAAAAAAATCGTCTACTGATTGCCGCATGCATTTTTAAGAACTTCTATCGATCTGCCAGCTTGTCATTATCATTAAGCGTTCCCAAGTATCTGGAGTTAAAACATAACAGTAGTGAGCCCACCCAATATCAATAGACGTCTGAGTCTTCAACGTCAACCTCTCTTGACTTACAATGCATTGTAGGATATGTTTATGACAAAACATGAAGGATTGTTCTGCAAATCAAGTAGTTGAGGTAAAAGCTTTAGAAATCTATTCTTACTGATAATAGGTGATCCAATTAAACGACATCCACATTTTGTTTCTATTTCATTAGCATATTTCTCCGTCAAGCATCTAGTTTCAGAGTAGACATTTGAACTTTTAAGCTTCTTTGTGCCGCAYYTGGCTGGATAAGGCTCTGGTAAATGGATTTTCTGTATAGAATATARGAAAGAGTTTAGCCAGCGAATCCAGTGTCATATTGAAAAAAAGATGTTTCATTAGACTCTTTATCTTGTAAGAAAAAAGTTTTTTTTTCTGTGTACAAAGTAGCATAAAAATTGTGTTCTAAGAAGTTATATGAACAAATTAACAAGTTTAAATGTAGCCTGCTAACAGGCGTTTCTGCTTGATGAACGGGATCAAGGAATCGGGAGGGGAGCAGGAGCGCCTGTTTGCAAGCAAGTTTAAATGGTTATATATTACAACAGTAGATCGTCGACCCTAGTCGGGCCCAACTCAGTGAAGAAAACTTAACAACAATAATAACTTACGCACCTTCTTTTTTCGAATTCTGAGATTGGTTCTAAATCCAGTAGGGATATCAATACCATACAAATCCATCACGGGAAAAATACGAGGGTCATGGACCATGAGTTTGAACCCAGTGCCATCCCAACTGTATGGTCCATAATATTCGTGAGACTCGGTGTCTAACAGCAGTGCCAGTCCATAAACCTCCCCAAGCTTGCGCATCGTAGTCTTAATATTTATCGTGTGGCAGAGTCCTAACTGAACATAGAAATATTTTGGATGAATGCATTGGATGATAAAATAAAGGTTGCTTTATTCTAATAAAAGAAGTTATACTTGAATCCCAAGTGAAAAGCCAATGAATTCCTATTTGAACAACTTACTCTCAAGTCAAAAAAGCTCTTGGTACTGTTGGTAAATTTGAGACAATCTGCAGAAAACTTCATTTCCTTGATGATATCTGTTACACGATGACCATTTGCAAGCACTTCCTTCTCAATGTCGAACGAAGCGTTTATTTKGCTGTGGATTTTTGGCCAGTCTTTCTTGAGCTTAAAGTTTTGTCCATCTAGCCAGAGCTGTCCGTCCTTCCCTTGTATTTTGCTCTTCTTTAACGTATTCTTATTACATATCGTAACAGCGGGGAACCGCAATTTCTAGAATATATATGAATGAAAAACACGTTATTCTTACGGATAGCCTCCTTCACGATTCCCGTGCGTTTCTTAACGGCGTGAGAGGATCGTAGAGAGTGCAATGATAGAAAGCTTCTTTCACGTTTATTATATTCTCTGGTATCTTTTTGGTATCTAGATCAAAGGTCCTGTAGCTTTGATAGCTTTGA